CCACCCTCCCTCTTCCCCTCCCTCCCTTCGTACCTCTTCCTCTCCCTTTCCCTGGCAGGCGCACGTACCTGGGTCCTCTAGGCGGCTCTGGGCGAGGCTGGCGCTGCCCGGGTAGGACTGCACGGAACTGATGTAGGGGCTGGACGCGTGGCTGCTGACCGAGTTGACATAGGGGTAGCCCAGCGGTCGGGAGAAAGACGAGGCTGAGCTGTAGGCGCCGTCGGGCTGCGAATGGCCCGCCGAGTGTAAACAGTGCATGGAGTAGTGCCCGTGGGACATGGGAGAAGGAGACATTTGCTGGTTGGGCGGCCCAAACTCCATAAACACCGCCTTGCCCGACACGGGGCTGTTGAGACTTTCTGGCATGGTGGTCATGGTCATCTCTTCTCGCGGGGTCTGGGTGTGGGTCTCTCTTTCTCTTCTGCTTTCCTTTGGGGGTCTCTGTGTTTCTCAGGACAGGAAGGAACCCAATTTAAGCGGAACAGGGGTTTTCACTTTCCATTCATAAGAAAATGGAGTTTGTCTCTTTGAAAAGTCTAAGCATGATGCTGCGGAGCTCCCAAAACTCGCTTCAAAGCTTTGACTCAGCCAAGGTCATAAATATTCATGAGCTGGCGGAGCTGATTGGTCCGCTGCCTTGCATAATCACCGGGGATTGGTCCAAGGCGCTCCGGCTCCGCTGGACTAGAGCGGGCGAGGTGGCCCGGCCTGGGAAGAGACGCGTCCACACTTCCCGGCCGGGGCTCTTCTGCAACAGAGCGCGCCGTGTGGGGCGCACAATAGGCTGCAGCGCCCGTGCCGGGACCTCCGCGGCCTGCTGTTCTTCAGCCTCCCGCCTCCCGGTGCGCCTTACTTCCCGAAACCAACCAGCGATTCAGGGCCGCGGCCCATCCCTCCTCCTATCATCCCTCCCTTCTTCCCACCCCCAACACCCGGGACACCCGCACCCCTATCCCAGCCGCTGCCGCCCAGTCGGGTGCTGAGCTGGGGCGGCTCTGGAGCCTGGCTGCGGCCTCAAGAGCGCGAAGCCGTGCACTGCGGGGAGCTGGAGGCGGCCGAGAGAGCGCTGTCCTTTGCAGCGTCTGGTGCCTTAGCGCAGCGCTCTCCCGGCGGCCCCTCCCTCGCCTGGGTCCGCTCTGCCACATCTCTGGGGTGAGGTTTAGGGCCCCCTGGGCGAACTCACTCACTCGGCCGCCTCGCCGCCGCCGCCGCTCGCTGGGGCCCGCTCGCATTGCTCCAGGCCCAGCTGGCCACTCACGCTCCAGGCTGCACCGGTCTGATTAAAGCAGTGCGCGCGGAGAGCCAGGAACTCGCGCTTCTCCTCCCAGGAAAAGCTGCCGCACCGCCTCCCACCCCCCAACACACACACACCCTCTTCCCCTCCCAACCTTCCTCCGCCTCCTCCTCCCCTCTCCACTCCCTCTGCGCAGAGCGCCCAGGGCTCACTCGCCCCAAGGGCGCGGGGCCGAGTGGAGGCGAGGAAACTGCAGGCTCAGTTCTGCTTCTCCTGCGGACGCCAGGTGGTCATTTTCCGGCCTCCTGGGGTCTGGCAAGAGTATCGGGGTTTAGGAGTCCAGGGGGACACCGAAACCCGCGGCAAAACCAAGCCAATGGTAGGCTCACATGTCTCTGTGTTGACATGTCTCCCATTATCGCCAGGATCCTCATTTCCAGTGGTCAAAACGTGCGCCACTGGGGCTGGGGGCAGGGCTGGTGGAGGCAAAAGCTGCCAAGGCGACTTCTATCTTCTGGGGTGCTACGTACAGAAAAGTGCACAAAAGATTCCCGTTGTCACAACCACACAGCCACCCCCGGCGAGGCGTGGCACGCACCACGCTGACTTCGAGGGGTTGTTGGTTCCCCATCCCTCCAGCTCCACGGTGAATTCCAAATTACTTTGTTAGGTAATTAGAAAGTGTTGATAATTATTTCTTTCATAATTTAGTGGTGTGACGAGACCGGGGAAATGATCTTGTGAAAGTTCACACGTGCAGATGTATTAGTTACTGATTCATTTGATTAAATGGTAGTCTCAAGTGCTCGGATCCGCAGCTGAAGGCGCCCCATTAGCATAACACTGATGTTTAATTTTCATACGCATAATTAGCCATATATTTAACACTAATAGCAACATGCAGCCTTTCAGCGTTAAACAGCCCGGGATTTGATCTGGCCTGAGCTGAACCTTCGCCGATGCACCTTCCCCTGTCTGGAGCGCGCAATGATCACAGGACAAACCTCTGTAATCAAGCACATTTTGGCAGCGGGAACACCAATAAAAATGAACATTCAAAACAAATTACATCGGTGCTGTCGTTACAGATATTAGTGGAATGGGCTTCTCTCTTTTTTAACTTTTATAGCAGCAGCAGCAGCAGCTGCCCGTGGAATTCCTCTCATTTGGTGTAAGGGCACGATGTTGGGGGTAAAAATATTTCAGGCAGCGTGGTTGGAGTAAAAACAAAAGCAAAAAAAAAAAAAGAGAGAGAGAGAGAGAGAAAGAGCGAGAGGGAGAGAGAGAGAGAGAGAGTGGGAGAGGAGAGAGAGACAACTACAACCAATCCTCCAAACCAATAACGGGTTTGCCAACGTTTAAAAAGATTTTTTTTTTCTTAATCACCCAACCACGCGGTGATGCTTTGTAGCAACAACCAGCTAATGACTACACTACCAGACAACTCCCAGAGCCGCTCGACTCCTCTCGGTTCCCGTGTGGCACTTGTGGTTTTAATTGCACCTTCCTAGCGCCTGTTTGGGGGTGTGGAATGTGGCTCGGTGCGCCCTGTACAGCAGCACGGATGCCGCCGGGGCCCCTGGTCTCCCGAGCACCTCGCGGGCCCTGCCCACGTAAGTGATCGCCGCAGCTGGCGCGTGGTCGAGGTTGGGACCGAGGGAAGCGTGGCTCGCGACTCCCCGTGCTCAGGGCAACGCGTGAGGAAACCCGACGGCTGGGCGGCTCAGGACCAGTTTATAGCAGAGAACTGCAGGGTGGGGTAAAGGGAGCGAGGCGGCCACAGGTCGCGACTGTCTCCAGGGCTCTCGATCCGTCCACAGCTGGAGGGGGAAATCCAAGCCATTCGTAGCGCAGGGGACGAGGCTGGCTCCGGGAAACAAAGGACCCGCACGCTCCCCCTCGGGAAAAGATTTCAAAGCCTTGCTTATTTTACAAATGAATTATATGTGGGCGAAGGGCTGTCTGCACTCCGGAATTATTTCTTAGCCCTAGAGAAGCAGGTCAAGGGAGGGGCGGCTGAGCCGGGACGCTCTGGCGCGTAGACGCCGGCCTTGACTAGCTTCTCAAACTGCGATCTTATCTCTATTCTGTGAGCCCTCCCACCCCCACCCCCAGCCCCGCTAAGGCGACACCTGTTCTGAAAAGCTGGTTTGCTTAGATCTTTGCCAGTCCCAACCCCGAGAGGAAACAAAACTCTCCTATTTATCCCGAAAGTCCCGCATTACGAGTAGAATCTTTTGGAGACACTGTAGGACTGGGCGCCTGGTAGTGTTAGCTGTAGCCACGCGAGGGCTGGATTCCCGGTCGCCCTGGGTGAGGTTTGGGGCCAGCAGCTGGCAGGGATGAGGAGTGGCGGGCAGGGGGTGGGATGGACAAAGTGTTTTTAAAATCTGCTTCCTAACTTCAGCTTCAAAGCATGCTAAACGGAATTCGCTCTAAATGAAGTTTGTTGCCTAGGGAGCTGCAGAGTATTGGCTGATTCTGGTATATATACACATATGTATAATGTTTAAACCATAGGTTACTTTAATAAATGGGATTATAAACCTGTCCCATAAATACCTCCACCTGGGAATAATTGCTGCAGAAGCCTGTTATCCCAGTAGTTAGTAAAATCCTATGGTTCTAATAAAATTATTCTTGGGGAACCTCGGAGTAAACTGATCCATAGATAAGATACAGGGCTAATCATTGCAATGCGAAGTCATTCTCTGGCAAACCTCTTCCAAAGCCATCTGGGCCTTATTCCTCTCTAGAGACTCCAGGTCGTTCCAGGCAGCAGCCTATCTCTAGGTGTTTTCTTGGCCAACTCTCCAGGACCCCAGAAGTTTTTCCATGGACCTTGTAAATGTTCAACTCATTTTTTTCTAGCCCTTGGAGCCACTAGCATTGGAATCATCTCTGTCCAAATTCTTCATTACTGGACACAGAGAAAGAAAGCTGGAGGGGTTGGAGGACCCCTAAGAGAACTGAGAGTTCAGGAAAAAGCTTTACCTGAACACTTTTTCCAGCATGCTCTCTGGCCTCAGTTTTTTCTTTTCCCACCACTCAGTGTCACAAAGAGGAGCTGGCTCTTGGGACCCAATCACAGAGGCCACCTGTCATGGCAACTACTGGTGCCCACATTTCCTTGGCTCTCCAGCCCAAGCTATATTTAGTGGATGGCAACTTTGCAAAACTGCTTCCGTAGAAACAAGAGTTAGCACAACCACTGACTGCCAGGACACCCTAACTGGAGTCGTTCCTAAAACCATGACCAAAGGGAACTACTTTATACCTGGTTTGCTATAGGCCCAATACCTTTTCACCCCTGAGCCCAAGTATGAACAGGTCCTGGGGAGACTATGCAAGAGAAGAGAGAGTACTTGAGACAGAAATGGGCCTTAGGAGATGCAGGATATGGGGCCTTGAATTTCCTGCTTCTGAAGCAGGTGGAGCTGCCTGCTGGAGGGAGGTACTGGAATGTAACTCACCGGCTCCAATCAGGCTAACTAGGCCCTTGCCCTCAAAAGTTCCAGAATCTCCTCTTGCTGTGATCTTCTACGTCTCCAGTGCCTGAACTTAGGTCCGAAGGGGCCAGCACGGGGAGAGGTTAGTTTAGGCGCTAGACCGGCCTGGGGCCGATGCTCCAATTTCTAGTGCAGCAAATGGTCGCGCGCGTGCGCATCTGTTTTAGGTCTCACAAAAGTAACCTCTGGGATGGTCCCGCAGGGCAGGATGAAGGCCGCGGAGGAGCAGCCGCAGGGGACCAGGAAAATCATATTTTTAGATTGATAAAGCTCTGCAGAACAGCCAGGCCCCGGGTCCACAGGCAAGGAAATGTTTGTAACCAACCCTTTCATTCCTACTGATCTTTTCATCGCAAAGCGGCTATGAAGGGGGAAAGAACCAGAGGGCTGGGAGCAGGGGGCTCTGCGACCGCCCTCGGGGCCAGCCAAAGTGGGATTCGCAAGGGGGGAAAAAGAGACTAGAAAAATTCTCAGCTAACAGCTAGGTTCGGGTTTTTCTTTCTGTGCGGCCACGTGAAAAGTTCAGAGACTCAAAAATTAACCACCTACCCTCCTCTCCGAGCCCAAGTAACTTTCAGATCGCAGACACAATGGGTTTATGAAAGTTTTTTACTAGGGCAGTCAAAACACGGGTAAGAAAAAAATGCATCTCGTCTTTCAAACGGGGGCATCACCATTCCCCTCCATAAGCGTTTCCCGAGCTGGTAAGCCGAGCCCCACGCCGGGATCCGTCTCTCCGAAGCCGCGCGGCCACACAGGGCTTCAGATCTGAGTTCCCAATTACCCCAATTCTTCCCCGGATTTTTCCATGAAGCTACTAGGTGAGAAGTAGGTTAGTGCGCGACCTGCTGTGCGCCTGTTTCTTCTAAAAGTTCTCCAGCTGGACTTCAGCAATTTAGGAGAAAAGGCGCCCAGCCTCTGCAACCTTTAAGCCGCTCCTCAAGCCTCGTGGGGCAGTTTGGTCAGGATCTGTGCGCCCCCCGACGTGATGACAACGGTGTGCTCGAACTGGGCGGACCTGAAACACACCGCACTGGTCAGGACCCGCGCGAGCGCCGGCGGGCGGGGAGCAGCCGCTCGCCAGCGCCTTCGGACGAAGCTTCCCTTCCCATACAATTTAAAAGCAACGGGGCAGAAAGCAAACACCTTTGATTGTCCAGGGAGACCACAGTCCATGCATCCTCCAGTACTTTAAATTCAGGAGATCCCTCTGTTATGATTGGCTCTGTAAGAGGGAAAATATTTATTGGAGTGATCTAATCAGATTCTTGTCAAACATTGTTTCCGCTGATTATCAAAAAAGAGAATTAGAAGGTTCTCTCCCCTTCTCCCAAGTACTCCCCCCGCGGGTTCATGTTGTCATCTTTCAAAGGCTGATAATTGATGTTGCTTACATAGTATACTACAAACTAAACAGTAGGAAGAGGAAATGCTCAGCATTCAAATGTATGAAGTTGCCTATTTCATAATTTTTTTAGAGAAAAAAGGGCATTTTAATCAAGCCTTAATTAAGACCCTGTGGATAATAACCACCCAAACACCAGTCCCTCTTACAAATATCAGT